GCGAACTTTAACCTTCAAAGGGAATACCCAACTTACATAATACCATTACATAAAGATAGCAAACCATGCATGTAATAAAATATAGCCTGATATCAATCTAAAATCCAAAATATATGATTACGTCACTGTGACACAAAAAATATATATACATATCAACAGAATGGAAAAGATAACTGTGAACCGGCCTAAGAATTCAGATATATGAATATGATTTCGTTTCTCAGCTGATAACAATTTAACCCCTAAATCCCTTTACATAATATCCGTATAGTACCTTTGCTTATGTTGGAACACCTACTCCCTTTCAACAAACCAATAGCCCTCTCTTTTAAGATCACTGAAACACAAATTGAGGAGAATCTGTTCTATAATATAACTCCTCACGTTTTCTCTGGTTGCTGTATTATGAAGCTCTATAGACTTCACGAGAGTATTAGTCCAATTAGGCTGTTGCTCATATACATAATGTTAAAGGGTTTAGTTTTGGCTCAAAAGGGTTTCAGATTTAATAAGAACTTTCTATGATTTTTTTAGAGCTCGACATGGTTTTCCGGGTTTAATGAAGTTTAAAAACACACTTTATGAGTGTGTGCGTGTGTGGGAAAGAGAGAGAGAGTATGTACGATGTAATCTCAAAATCACAGATTGGATTAACTATGATTATAAGGACCGAAAGAAAAAAAACAACAAAATTAATTATTCAAATATCATATCTCATAAGACCAAAGGGTCTATATATATATATATATATATATATATATATATATATATATATATATATATATATATAAAATAATAATATTGATGTATTCTAACGTTACTTTCCCTATTATCAGAAATTACATATCGCAAGACATTCAAATACTTTGATATTCCAGGATAATCTTTATAATGACTTAGATCAGAGGGTAGCTTATACACCCATTATTGGCTATATTAGTATTAATTAAATTCCTTCAGATTTGTGAGTGTAGGTGATGATTAATTAAAGTTATGTGTTGGGTTTCTGTTAAAATGTCTCGGTTAACTTTCTATGTAAACTTTAAATATCCTTTTTGAAGTGTTTGGTGCCTCGTGGTAATAGTTAAGATACGTGTTTCTAATGTTTATTTTCCGGGTATGAACGCACTTTGTCATTTGATATTTTTCCACGATTTAACATTAATTTTTTTTCTCTTTTTTTAAATATCTATGTTATTTATTTATTTATCTTTTTTATCATTATTCATTCTTTTATATAAGTTTATCTTCCTTTTCCTCTTCTTATTATTTACAGACGATGAGACATGAACTTAGAGAAATTAAGAAATAAAAATTATGTATGGAATTGTTAATAATTCCATTTATTCCATTTTCATTAGAGAGGGTATATCGTTATACATAGACATAACAGAAATTAATCCTTGATACTACAATTTTCTTCGTTATAATTATGCAAAATAATAGTTCGGCACTGGCTAGCGAGACCAGTTTCTGAACAGCTATTTCACAACTATTGAATTGAAAGACTTTCACAATTACATACACACACACACACACACACACACACGTATATATATATTTTTTTTTTCTTTTTTTTTCGTTTTCCTTTTCTCTTCTCTTTTTCTTTTCTTTCTTTCTTTTTATTATAGGTAACTGAATCTGAAATCTAAAAAAAGGGAAAATATAAAGTATATAGCCAGTATTTCCTTTACATAATGAGTTGCGTATTTGCATGTGTGTGTGTGTGTGTGTGTGTGTGTGTGTGTGTGTGTGTGTGTGTGTGTGTGTGTGTGTGTGTGTGTGTGTGGTGTTATGGTATCAAAAGTACAACTTATAGAATAAAATACCCATTAATAATAATACCAAGGTCAGAAGAAATAATGTTAATATGAAAACAAATAAGCAAATCGAAGAATATTTCTTTAATGCAGGTCGCTGTTCAAAGAATTATCCATAATTATAGTTTCATTTTGGATACCAATACTCGAGAGAACTGTGTTAAAAAATACATGTATATAATGAGAAATGATTAGGGAAAATACAAAGACAAATGCCATAATCATAATAATGATGATGAAAATGAGAATGGAAATAGTAGCAGTAGTATTCTACTACTACTACTACTACTACTACTACTACTATTACTATTATCATTATTATTATTATTATCATTCTCAATATTATCATTAACGATAATAATTGACAGCAACAAGAACACCAACAATTATAATAACAAAAACGTAAATAATGATGATAATATCAATTAAATCATCATAATCATCATAAGTCTTTTCTAAAGAAAACGAAATGATTAATAATAAACATGAACTTAACTGCTTTCATCACAAAAAAAATAAATACATATAAATAAACGGCTTTGACAAATAGGAAAATAATTCCTAAGGCCTCGATTTCACTTGGAAGAAATCTATTTTATCTTTCACTCCTTTTACAAATCATTATAAATTGTATCTTAGCCGGCAAGATGTACCATTGATAAGATAACGAGCCATGGGACTTTTCACAATATTCGCATGCCTACTCGTTATGACGTAATAACCTGGGTGTAGTATAGATCACAGACGAAGAATGTTTACTAAAGAAACATAATTGTGTATAACAGTACAAACAGGATGTTTATTCTCTTAAGGGGGGGGGGGGTAAAGATGGAAGAATGAGAGACGAGAGGAGAGGAAGAAAGAGAAGAGAGAGAAACTGAATAACAGAAAGATTGAGAGAGAGTAAAAGGAGGACATAGAGCTAAATCATTAGAGAAAGAGAAACAGATAGCTAAAGAGAAAAAATAAAAAGAAAAGAAAAAAAATACACGGAAAGAAAACGGTGGAAAATCATAATTGTTTAAAAACAGCTGATTATTCCATTTTTTTCTTTCCCTTTTAACTTCTGTTTTAAATCAATTAAATTCATCTTATTTTAATCCTTCTTGTCTGTAGTTTACCTTTTATCCTAAATCCATATATGTTTTATGTTTCTTTTAATTTCAAGGACGCTGATATAATTATTTTATTCATAAAATGCTTCCTCCTGATATATGATGGTCAAATGTCGGCTTCATTTGTTCCTTTTTTTTAACATTGTCTTTTCTTCCAAAATACTTACACAATCTGAGCATAGGAAGCGAGACATCAGGATCCGTGAAAATTATATCACATCCCCTTAGATTATTGCTGACTTTTTTTTTCAAATAACATGTACATATACATTTATTTAATCTGATTTACTGACAGTATCACCCTCTCTTTCACAGCCAGCTCGTAGGGCACTTCCCCTTCAATCTGATCACGGGAAGTCAGCTCCTTTTGATCTGACAAAAAAAGAAAAAAGAAAAGAAAAAAGCAGTAACGCGTAAGATAACGAAAACGGACCGAAGAGACAAGGCCACATCTGAAAGAAAACGGAGAGAAGAGGCAATACAACTGAAAGAAAACCGAGAGAAAAGACAAGGCAAGGGAAAGAAAACAGAAGAAAAGAGGCAAGACAAGGGAGAGAAAACTTAGAGAAGAGACAAGGCCTGGAAAAGAAACACCCAAACAAACACCATGGAAGTCCTCATCAACGACACGACCAATGACCACCCTAACACAGACAAAGTGCACAACTGGTCTCTCATACTGGCAATGGTTGTGACTTTAACAGTGATGGTTATCGGGTCCCTCGGAAACCTGCTCACGCTTCTCACCGTAGGGCACCAGTTCTGCATGCCCGTTCGACTAAGGTGAATTTAGTTAACCCATTGCCGCCGGGAAAAATGAACAAAAGATGGGGAAAATACTGAGCCTATTTTCTATATTTTTTTGTGAATAGTCTGCCCTTAGATGGCTCTGTTAACGCCTGATTTGAATACGTATTTTTCACTAGTGCCATGAATATCGATGTTAACCCATTGCCGCCGGGAAAAATGAACAAAAGATGGGGAAAATACTGAGCCTATTTTCTATATTTTTTTGTGAATAGTCTGCCCTTAGATGGCTCTGTTAACGCCTGATTTGAATACGTATTTTTCACTAGTGCCATGAATATCGATGGTGTTATTTTTATTATAAACATTATAATTTTTATAATGTTTTTTTAACATTAGTAACAGCAAAATAAGATAACGTAAAATATTTCGTAAATTAAAGAAAAAGGTGAACGGGCGAGACAGGCGGTACTCGTAACTGGCTCATTGGTGATTTAGTACAAGTGTAGCCATCTATGTGTAAAAACAATCCAACAAGTGATCTCACAGTGGCCATGGCATGGCATGCCCGGCGGGAATGGGTTAATGTGCGAGATGCTTGTGTACATATACTAATGAGAAAGAGAGAGAGTTTATATGGATACACAGAAATAGGTCGAGACAGATATGCATGATGATACACACACACACACACACACATATATACATTATATATATATATATATATATATATATATATATATATATATATATGTATATATACACACACACACACACACACACACACATATATATATATATATATATATATATATATATATATATATATATATATATATACATATATATACATATATATACATATATATATATATATATACGTGTGTGTGTGTGTGTTGTTAGGCCTCTCGCAATCACAACAATCATAAGTTCATCCAATATATTTTTTTTCTTATATTCTACAGGTGCATCAAATACATGACACCTGACACTGTGCTCATCCTTAACTTGGCACTGGCGGATTTTCTCTACTCGGCTGTTAACCTGCCCTTTATGTTCAGTACTTATTACAGTATATATATGGTAAGGCTGAGATATTTGTAGATACAGGGACAGGAATTCCAAACAGTAAAATTAAAAATATGATATTACAATGAATATTAGGTCATGTTAATCCATTCACCTCTATCATGATATAATTGAATTTTCCGTTTGGAAATCTGTCCCAATTACGGATTCAAAAGCGTTGCATACACCAAATTCATTATTTCTTACCAATCTTTAAAAACACAACAATTCACAACCAAAATTAAAATGC